CCAACTGACTAGAAGAGATCCATATTTGTACCCATTCCAAAGAAAGGTGATCCCACAGAATGTGGAAATTATCTAACAATATCATTAATATCACAGGCAAGTAAAATCTTACTGAAGATAATTCAAAAACAATTGCAGCAGTGTATTGACAGAGAGCTTCCAGACATGCAAGCTGGATTCAGGAGAGGACGTGGAATGAGGGATATCATTGCTTATGTCAGACAGATCCTGGCTCAAAGCAAAAAATACCAGAAAGATGTTTTACTTATATTTTATTGACTATTCAAAAGCATTCAATTGCGTGGATCATGACAAATTATGGATAGCATCGAGAAGAATGGGAATTCCAGAACACTTGATTGTATTCATGAGGAACCTGTACATAGATCAGGAGGCTGTCATTCAAACAGAACAAAGGGATACTGCATGTTTCAAAGTGAAGAAGGGAGTGCATCAAGGTTGTATCCTTTCATCACACTTATTCAAGTTGTATGGTGAGCAAATAATCCGAGAAGCTGGACTATATGAAGAAGAACGTGGCATCAGGATTGGAGGAAGAATCATGAACAATCTGCAATATGTGGGTGACAAACCTTGCTTGCTTGAAGACTTGAAGCACTTAGTGATGAAGATCAAAGATTACAGCCTTCAGTATGGATTACACCTCAATATAAAGAAAACCAAAATTCTCACAACTGGATCAAGAAGCAACATCACAATAAATGGAGAAAAGATTGACATTGTCAAAGATTTCATTTTACTTGGATCCACAATCAATGCCCCTGGAAGCGGCAGTCAAGAAATCATTATTATTATTGCATTGGGCACATCTGCTGCAAAAGACCTCTTTAAAGTGTTAAGAAACAAAGATACCACTTTGAAGACTAAGGTGTACTTGACCCAAGCCATGGTATTTTCCATAGCTTCATATGCATGTGAGAGTTGGACACTGAATAAGGAAGACAGAAGAATTGATTCATTTGAATTGTGGCATTGGTGAAGAATATTGAATGTACCATGGACTTACAGAAGAATGAACAAATCTACATTGGAGGAAGTACAGCCAGAATACTCCTTAGACAGGAGAATGGCCAGACTTCTTCTCACCTACCTTGCTCATGTGGTTAACAAGGACCAGTCCCTGGAGAAGGCATGCTTGGTCAAGCAGAGGGTCAGCGGAAAAGGGGAAGACCCTCAACTGGATGCATTGACACAGTGGCTGCGACGATAGGGTCGAGCATGGCGGTGATCATAAGGCTGGCACAGGACCAGGCAGTGTTTCGTTCTGTTGTACATGAGGTTGCTATGAGTCCAAACCAACTTGACGGCACCTAACCACAACA